TCCTTATCTTTTTGCTTTAGTTATGGATGAGTTGACGAGAAATATTCAGAATGATGTGTCATGGTGTATGCTTTTCACAGATAATATCGTGTTAGTGGATGAGACTAGAGAAGGAGTTAATACTAAGTTGAAAATTTGGAGAGAAGCACTTGAATCTAAAGGATTTAGGATAAGCAGAACTAAGACAGAGTACATGGAGTGTAATTTAGTAATAGTAACAATGGAAGCAGATGAGAAGTAAAGATTGAGAACCAAGAACTACCTAAAAGTGAATATTTTCGTTATTTATGATCGATTATCACAACGGCTGGGGAGATTGGAGTGGATATGGTCTATAGAATTAAGACGGGGTGGCTTAAGTGGCGTGGTGTGTCTGAGGTACTGTGCAATAAACGAGTACTTATTAGACTAAAAGGGAATTTCTAAAGAACAGCTATTAGACCAGCGATGTTGTATGGGTCAGAATGTTGGGCAACTAAAAAACAATATGTAGGTAAGATGAATGTTACTGAGATGAGGATGCTAAGGTGGATGTGTGGCAAGACTAGAAAAGATAGAGTGAGGAATGTATATTCAAGAATGGGTAGGAGTAGTATCAATAGAAGATAAGGTAAGAGAAAATAGATTGAGATGGTTTGGTCATATACAACAAGGACTAACAAAGACAGTAGTAAAGAAATGTGATACAATGGCGGTAGATGGAAATGTTAAGGGAAGGGGCAGACCTAAATTGACGTGAACTAGTGTAGTAAATAGAGATATGAACCTCCTTAATTTGATTAATGAAATGGCCTTGGATAGAGTCGAGTGGAGAAGAAGGATTCATGTAGCCAACCCCATTTAATTGGACTTAAGGCTTGGTTTTCCATATAAAGTGAACATTACCATTATGATTCACGATTTACAATTCACAATATGACAACAATAATCACACAAGGTAGCATTCTTTGCGTGGACGGCGGCATTGGATAGGACTCTCACTATTGATACTCTTATTCGGCGTTGATAGATTATGGTCAATTGGTAATGTATGTGCCGTAGGGATGCGGAGTCGGTGTCTCATCTTCTTCTTCATTGTTTGATTTGGGTGTTGAATTTTTCTTTGTTTGGTGTGATTTGGGTACAACAACAAAGTGTTGAGGTTGTCCTTTATAGTTGTAGAGGGAGTAGGGTTAGAAAGAGGCATAGGAAGGTGTGCGCTTTGGCACCTTTTGTCTGCTATGGATGATTTGGTTAGAGCGTAATCGACAAGTTGACTGTAGACCGATATGCTTTAATAAAAATGAGTCAGAAGTCGAGAGAGTCGTTTAGGGAAAACAAGAATCAGTGACTCATTTGAAGGATCAATTTTTAGTGTTTCTATATAGTTGGGTGTCGGGGAGAGTGTCCCTAGATTTGTTTGGTTTTGTGGATTTTATAGATACTCTTCTTGCTTAGTTTTTGTTTTTCTGTTGATTCTTTGTCGATGTATTTGTTAATATTGCCCTGATGCTTTTTCGTTAATAATATTGACTTTTATTTATCAAAAAATAAATAAATTGATCACACATTTCAAAATTTCCATCAAAATGGTAGAAAAAATAGTATCGATTAAAATGAAAGTGATTGGTCTTGCCTTTGGTATTTCTTGACAAAATGAAGGTAGTTCTGTTAAACAATGATTGTTCTCATCATCTTGCATTGTGGCAGGTTCCAACAAGTATGCGGCCCCTAATAGAAACATTGCCTGTGAACGGACATTTCTTGTCAATATAAGTTCCTGCAAACATGGAAGACATTGGGATTAGTTACTAGTTCTAATTTGATACAAATTTATATTTTTTTGAAAATTGGTTGGAATGTGTTCGTATTTAATTTCTAATTGATGTGAATCTAGAAGACATAGCAAAGAGTAGCAAACAATTCTAATTCCCTTATTTCATTAGAGTAAATTTCACTTCACTCCCTATGGTTTGGGCCATGTGCACAAACCAAGTGATTTGTGGACTAAAACACATTGCTAAAATCTATTAACAACATATGTAAATGGACCTACATACTCTCATAATCTTATTCTCTTCTAAATTAAACCACTCTATATTATATGTATGCATACCTCTCTCATTTTTAACTCATCCTCCTCTTCTTTGCTCGGACCAACGGCATATAACTACCCGACCCATCAAAAGTCAACTTCTAAATTTGCAAAATAATCCCCTGACATTAAGAAATAAGCACATTACCCCATGTGATTTGTAAACTAAAACACACCCTAACATCTGTTAATGACACTTGTAAATAGACCTCAATACCCTCATTTTCTTACTATATTCTAAACTAAACATTTCTATATAATATAGACAAAAGCATTCTTACCATATTCTGAGCTAAACCTTTCTATATAATATAGACATAAGCATACATATATAGTCTCTCTCTTTGTGTCTCACACGCACACGCACACACACACAAGCTTACTTAGTCATAGCCTATTTAATTTAAGTACATTTCTAAACAAATTTGTGATATTTACAAAAATATTATTTATTTTTGGAGTTCTAAAAAATACACAAAATATTTATTTTAGTACCCTGAGGTTTAAACAAAAAAAATATTTACGCCTTGGTGTACCCACAAAAGTACCGAACACGTACGCATGTTGTACAAACATTCAGGTTTTGTTTGGTTTGTTTTTAGAAAAAAAATTTGGAAATTTTTTTTAAAATTTTGTTTGGTTTAGTGATTTTGGAAAAAAAAAAATTCAAAATCACTTTCTATCTCCTACATATCAATTAATCACTTTTTCTCTCTCTTCTCTCCTTCTCAATCATTTTTTCTCTCATACACATCTACTCAACTATAACAAAAGAATAATGTTTGAGGGCCACAATTTTTGTGGCTCAAATGGCTCAAAACTGCCAAAACGACGTCGTTTTGGCATGTTTTGTGCTCAAAACGACGTCGTTTTGACAGTTTTGAGCCATTTGAGCCACAAAAATTGTGGCCCTCTACCATTGCCCATAACAAAATATCAAATCATCCCAAACTTTTACACTTCAAAACCATTTCCAAAATATACAACCAAACAAACCAAAAAAATTTCTAAGCTCTTTTCCCAAGATTTTTTTTTGAAAATTTATCTCCCAAAACGAAACCAAACACACCCTTGATTTTTTAAAAAGTAAAGTTTCAGATATGTATTTTGTGTACTCAATACGCACGTAGCTATACCCATACCCATACTGGATACATACAACCCATATAAAGATTTATGATAACATATAGATCAACAAAATTTATGACATAAATATAAATTTTTGATGTCAAACTCCATCTTTAACACCAAAAACATTTCACCGTAGATAATGGAAGTCTCAGTCCTTGTGAAATAAGAAATGTGAATGCTAACAACCTGCTAAAAGAGGTAGAGCAAAATTTCAAGCTTAAAGCCAGACTGCATAGCAATGTAATCATAAAAAGAACGACTGTTGACATCATTCAAATGGTGGACAGCCACAATGGCAGAACTCCTTGTATTGGATTCACAAAAAGAACAAAGATGGGTTTAATCCTTAAACTTATTATTGAATTTAGACCCTTTTAAAAAATGAAAAAAAAAAAAATTCCCTGAGATATTAATTTGTAATTATATTTCAATTTTAAACAATCATTACACCAGAGTTTACCTTTAACGGCGGTAACAAACCGTCGCTAATAGGTATAAAACCGTTGCAAATACTTTTAATAGCGGTAAGATGACAAAAATTGAAGCCGTCATCTATATGAGTGTCGGGAATAATTTAAAGGCGGTACTATTACCGCTGTTAATAATAATGGTGGTATCTATGGTGGTTATTAACAGCCACATAAAGAATCCGACGTCCATAGAAATTAGCAGCATTTTTTTGTAGAACTGTTGTAAATGTAGTTCCTTTAAAGACGGTTTTTTCAAGGGAAAGATGGTTGTATAATACCGCCGCAAAAGATGTCAGCAATTGACGACAATAAATAACTGCCGTTAAATATATTGTAAAATTAAATGTGACTTTCTATTAGTGACGAAATTAAACCCTCCAGTAATTGTGAACCATTTGCTAAACTGATTATGTTTATACATTTATATTCAATACCTGTTAATGTACTCAATGAAAGTCATTCAATAGAAGTGTATAACTGATTAAAGCTTCCATACATTCAATATTATATCCATAGAAACCCATACACCATATTCAGTATTCAAAATCTATTCCAAAATACATGTCACATGTAGCGAAGTTCCAAAATACATGAAACACGTAGCAATTAGTTCCAAAATACATTTCACTTGTAGCAATTAGTTTCAAAATATTTGTCTCAAAATGCAAGTGCCAAAATAAAAGTCCCAAAAAGCATGTGCATCATTTACATGGTCCATTTAGCTCCCTCAATCTGCAAATACAGCAACTAGTTCCAAAATGTTTGTCTCAAAACACAAGTGCCAAAATAAAAAGTCCCAAAAAGCATGTGTATCATCAACGTGGTCCATTTAGCTCCCTTCAATCTGCAAATGTAGCAACTAGTTCCAAAATATTTGTCTAAAAACACAAGCGCCAAAATAAGAGTTCCAAAAAGCATGTGCATTATCTACATGGTCTATCTAACTCCCCTCAATCTATAGTCTGCAAGTGGATCCTCAATCTGCACATGTATAAAAATTTAACTACCACTAAGATTTAAAAATATAATAAATATAGTATTAGTGAATGTGCATTACATCAACTGAAGGCCAAGCTACACATTTGTGAAGTGCATCTCCAATTGTTTTGACACCTTGATGACCTTTCACCAAATTTTGACGAGGTTTTATCGCCTTCGTAATATGAACTTTCCATTATTCTGGCCCCAATAGTTGTCCATCAACTATGACAACACTCGAGGGCAAAGTTCAAATGAAACTATGAAATTTGTGGCATAAGCATGACCATTAGATCAACAGCATAACAATTTAGCATCTAAAATTTTCACACATAGTTTGAAGAAAATGTCTTAAATTCTGGAGAACAATCACCATTTTCATAAAAATTAAGATATATCAAGTTCATAAATATGAGAGATGAGATAATAAAATACTGATTGCCTTGACAAGAATGCTCATTCAGACCTTGGCCGCACATACAGCAGCATGACCCACATGAGAGCGAAAGTCATTCAGGACATTTGGCTGCAAAAACAGTGTTTCTGTCAAAAGTATAGGCATCTACAACAAGAAACCTAAACTTAAAATATAGATAGAGTTGCATACAGCTGGAGCTTCTTCAATTATTTTCTGATGTCTTCTCTGCACACTGCAGTCTCTTTCGTATAAATGTAAGATGTTGCCATGTTTGTCCCCAAATACCTATAACATTAAGCAAATTCAGGAACACTCAATGAATCGGTACATAAGTCTTATAGACATATGTTTCTTATAATGCCATTAAATAAAAGTATCAATGCATCATCTACAGATTTTAAACCCAAATATAAATAAATAAATGAAATTAAGGAAACTGGGTATGATATAGGACATGCTGAATTTGACAGATAACATTACTTTAGTATGGATGAATAGAAACAAGAGACGTGTAAAAATAAAAGTATCTGGACTTCAATGTGTCTTGGCTGTGTGATATATTTCTCTAGCAAGATTGTATTTATGCCAAAAGAAACAGTAGCCTCACATTGTGCCCCCAAGAATGAGTCAACAAATTCATTTAGACTTTGCACAATCCTCATACCCTGAGAATGACACATATCTTGAGAATTTCATCTCAAACATAATTGATGTCCATATAACAAGGACACTCCTATTATGACCTTTGCTAAGCATGTTGTTAGAGGTTTGAACAAAAGTTGCACTGTATAATATTAATAAAGAATGGAAGAAACGTGAATATACAAATATTGCATGAAATGTTTACATTGATAGGGTAGGTGTAACTTAGTTGAAGCTAGTAAACAAGCATCGAAGAGGAGCTGACTGTAAAAGGGGAAAAAAAAATTACTATAGACTGCAGTAAAGCCTTAGAATTGTTTTTTCTGTTCTATTTTCCCATAGTTTATATACTACTCCTGCTTTGTCATACCCAGGCTTGTTCTAATCTACAGTGCATACGACATATTACTTGATGGCCTCCCATATTCAAGGGAGTATCAAAAAAATGTTTGGAGGGAACTCAACAATCGTCACACCTTCCCTCCACCTCCATGAGTTGGCTTTATCAAAATAGGATATCCAATCTTGTCTGTTTCAGACTTCCTAAGGTCAATATCTTGTTCTTCACCATGATATACAGGCACAAGTGGCAATGAAGATAGAGGAGATGCAACAACAAAATATTCATGCTACTAGAGTTATTGCTTTACACTTAATTTTTAATTTTAGTTTTTTAAAGAAAACAAAAAAGTTAACAATAATTCTTGACATACACAAATCCTACACTACAAATGATGAATGAAGAATAAATAGAACATAGAAAAAGGCAGACACAAATGATGGAAGACTCTACACAACAGCTCAACTTTAATGAAATTTTCAGCAAGCCATACACGCACCTAAATAATGAGAAATTTGGATAACCAGCAACATGATCTACATTGGGCATGGGAAATGAATCATCCCTCAATGATGAATGTTTTTCCCCAGCTAGAGAGACCACATGATATATCCAACCAAAAATAATTCCATTGAACCATTTATAAAATTTTCAGTGAGACCATGCTTGTACTCTTAATCAATGTCCACTTTTAGTAACATAATATGGTAAACCAGCATATTTTACTTTCAAAATGTGTGTGTAAGCGGCGATAACTCAATCGAGCTAGAGGTTTCACATGGAAAGCATAGCACCTCCAAAAATGCAATTCTTTAGTTGGCTAGCTTTGAAAGGAATAGTTAAAATCTCAGTGTTCTTGCAAAGGATTGGGATGTTAGATGCCAATGTCAACACTTAGTGTTTGTTCTGCAAAACAGAGGGAGAATCAGTGGATCATGTATTATTATTTTGCCGATTGGTTTGGAAGCTTTGGTCAGATATGGTCAGTTGGAGGGAGCAGTCATGGGCAATGTCTTACATGCAGAGGACTATGCCATTTGCATGAACTGCCCATTTGTGATTTTAAAAAAAATAAAGTGATTTACTCTCTCATTCTCTCTTGTTTCATTTTTCTCACGTACGGTATAAACAATGGCTTGCTGTAGTTCAATTTCTCGGTGTTCTCGATCACCCTAAGCTTCTAAAACTTCTAGGATACTGTTCTGCGGATGGGAAAAGAGGGATACAATGTCTATTGATATATGAATACGTGCCCAATAAGAGCCTAGAAGATCATCTTTTCGCCAGAGCCTAATAAATTTTAAAATTTTTAGAAAGACATGATTAAAATGAAGGAAAGGAATTAATCAAGATGTTGCTCAGAATTCAGAAAAGAATACATGCAAATGACAAAATATATGATCCATTAGCCCAAACAAACCTTTAAAACCAAACATACCATTACCCTCCTACTCAGATTACAGGTTTGACAAGAACAAGACATAATAGACATTTTATCAAATAGGTGGTGAGTGCCACTAAAATTCACAATTTAAACATACAAAAGCACAACATATATGAATTTCAATAATTAATAATACGAGGTAAAGCATTTTTTTGCTCATCAAAACTCTGTAAAATTTCTTTAGTGAAAAGAGACCCACAAAAATCTCTCTAAAAAACTCTATTTTTTATTTCTGGGTTTGTCTATTTTCGCTTCTTTCATCTTTGTTAACCAATATATATATATATATATATATATGTATAAACTAATAATAAGAGGGAGATTTTAAAAATGTAGAGTTGATTCTTGCTTTCATTGAAACAAACCCTAAAATGACATTACCCTTCTCTAATCGCCCATGGCCTAGTAGAAACACCATCAAAAAAGGTAGAAGGAATGGCAATATAAAGAGAAGGAAAGGGGAAAACATGGAAAAAGAAACTAATGGAGGCAACAACAACAAAGAGTGAAAAAAATGAAGCTAATAGGCGAATCAGAAGGTAGGCAAAGGACTCTTACCTCCGACGATGGTGCTGCAGTGCGACGATGGTACTTCGAACGACCTCCGATCCGATGCTGAAGCTTCACTCGTGACTCTTCGTTGACTACCTCCAATAGCAAGCCTCTTTCAGAACTAAGAGATATGAGGGAAAAACTAATCAATTAGGAAAAAAACTAATCAATTAGGAAAAATAGGTAATAGAAAGGGACAACGATGTCGTCTAACAAATTAATTGGAGGGAACCCATTTTTTTGGAGCGGGAATTACACTACTATGTTTGGGAACGTTAGGAAAAAATTAAAAATATATATATATACATATATATATATTATTTAAGTTATAAGAGAAAATAAAAGAAAATAAATGATTGTCAATTTTCTTATTTTTTTTGAATAAGTAATAAATAAAAGAAAAGAAATAATTGTGATTTCTTTTTTTCTTATTCGATTAGATTTCATAAAAAAAAGAAAAAAATTGTTTTATGTTATATTACCAAAATAATATTTTTATACTAATAGTCATTGAAGACATAGGTGTCAATCATTTTATTTCTTTTATTTTTACGGGGACAAATTGATATTATAGAAATATAAAATCTGTTAGTTTCTTTTCTCTATCAATCTCTCCACTTTTGGGAAGATTAAAAATGAGGGTTATAAAAGAAATAAGATTGCGTTTGGTAGAGTTTTCTAAATATGATTTGAGAGTAGGAGTTGTATTTTGAGTTTGTGAGTTTTGGAATTATGATTTGAGTGTGGAAAATTTTTTTGGTGAAAAAGTTTTGAATTGAGTGGGGAATTTCTGATGTAACATATGATATTTGATATAAAAACTTACAACTTATAACCAAATACATAACTCAAAGTTCTATTAAAGCTCATAGAAAAATTTAAAAAATTCGAAAAATATTTTTTTCGAATATATAAAAATTAACATGTGAAAAAATAAAATAAAATAAATTATACTGTTCCGGTCAACCGGCCGGACGACTGATGGGACGTCCGGTGGAACGATCGGTTAGGCCAAATTTTCCCGCCGAAAATAGAGTTTTCAAAATTGAATGTGGAATTAATTTTGGAAAACCATAAACAAACGTCAAACGCAAATAAAATGGTGGAATTGTAATTTGAAATGCGTTCTAAACAGAGCTTAAGTTTCTTTCCGTTTCTCTCTATTTCTTCTTATTCCTCAGTACTTAAGTTATCCAAACAAATAAGAAAAATACATATCTCTTAATTTCTTTTTTTTTTTTTCTCTCCAAATCACTCAATCCAAACATAACATTAGAAAAAACAGAAGTTTTTTGCGACAGTCTTCAAACAACTGCCTTAAAAGAATGACACAACAAAATCTAATTGGTTGCCTCAGACCAGGGTCAAGATTTCCCCAAACAATAAAAACAACAAAATCTAATTGGTTGACTCAGACCAGGGTCAAGATTTCCCCCAAACAATAAAAAAACTAGTATCTTGAATTTATGGGTTTTTTTTTTGGGTCTTCTCAACGATAATGTATAAGCGAAAATGCCGATTTTCTTACTCTGATTGTTACAAACTTAAGGCACCTGGGATATAATAAAGGCTGACGTGGACATAGCTAACCAATAAATGGACAACTAGCCAACACTAGGCTGGACAAAAGGCAGCTAGGCAATTACTTTTTTTAGAATAAGAAAAAAGAAACTGATAAGTTTAATAATTGCTGAAAAAGTTTATTTTCTGTTATTAGTACCCATACTCCGTAGTTAATAATTCTAATGATTCGAATTATATGATAGGAAATAGGATATTTAAATAAATAATTTTTTATCGAATGGTTATTCATCTATTATATTTTCTTGAGAAATTTTATTTTATTATTATTATTTTTTCAGCTTAAGATAAACATGTTTTTGCTTTGGGTGGTTTGGATATGAATTATTTAGTAGTTTTTTGACTTTTTACAAAATACCTATAGAAAAGTAAAAAGATTGTGTGACAACTTATAACAAATAAATTAATAAACAACTTATTTAGATGGTTGCCAAGCCACCAAATTTTTTAGTCCATGCCAATCAGGCCTTAGTCAGTTAATGTTGTTGGTTGAGATGCTCTGTCATAGTCTGTTTTGGTATGACTGGAACATAAAAGATAGAGAAGTTGTAATAAGAAATTCTTCTCTCATGGTTTTCTTCAAATTTTACTCCAACAAAACAAGTCCAATGCAACATTCAAAATAAAGCATTTCAGGTAAAGCCTGGAACAACTTATTTCCCACTTGTCATTTCTCATACACAATCCAACAACAAAACACACCTTAGGCATACAAACCCATTAAAAAAATAAAAATAAACGCCATTATATACTATATACCTTCAATGGCATCTCTAGCAGTCTTGAACCCCTATCCAACGTTCTTCCAGCATCGATTCCCTCACTTTCGGGTTCGGGCCTCTTACCCTTCCCTGATTTATTCGAGCTGCAAGAATTGTTAAACAGATTCACAATGCTCTAAATATACATTGACATAAAAAGAAGCTTTAATAGTAGTATAGTCAGAAAATAAAGATGGGCAAATTACATTTTATTCTCCATAAACTATTATCTAACATCACTTTACTCCCTTGAATTGAAAATTGTAATACTTATTCCTCTCATCTATTGATTCTTGACAAAATTCTATTTGCACACTATTAATTGTCGCAGTACACACCATCTCTTCACTATTTACTTAGTTCACACCACACTTAGGGTACATTTGTTTGGACGGACTAGATAAGGGGGGATTGTAATCCATCGGGCTATTAGTCCTGGGATACATTATCCCGGAACTATTTGGTTTGACTAAATTTGTATCCTATGTTTGTTTAGTCATGCGATTAGATGTCTAAATTGGACTATTTTTAGTTATCCAATATTTGTTTGTTTGGGATATAAATACCCAAATGACTATTTTATCCTTTTCAATTATTTACTAAGTAATAGCAATATTAAACATAACTTTAATATTTTAATTATTTTTAACTAGATTAAATAAAAATTTATTTTATTTTATTTTTTGCACAATATTTTAATTATTTTAGTTTATTATTTTCTATTAAATTAAATTTATAATTTATATTTTTTATTTAATATATAATTTTAAATTAATGACAATAAAAAATAATTTTATTTAATATATAAATTAAATTTTCAACAACACTAAAAAAATTTAATTTATAAGGCCATAATTTATAATTTATTATTTTTAAATAAATTTAATTTATAATTTATATTTTTTATTTAATATATAATTTTAAATTAACAACACTAAAAAATAATTTTATTTAATATATAAATTAAATTTTCAACAACACTAAAAAAATTTAATTTATAAGGCCATAATTTTTAATTTATTATTTTCAATTAAATTAAATTTATAATTTATAATTTAAATTTTTTATTTAATATATAATTTAAAATTAACATGATAGAATTCCATTTTGAACTAAGCCAAAATTACAGAAAGAGGATACCATAAACTAATGATTAGCCAAAGGAAACTCAAAATTACATAGTAATCAATGATTAGCCAAAGGAAACTCAACAAAAAAAAAAAAAAAATTTGAGACTGATAAATATTTATGGCAATCAGCCAAATTTCACTTTCTGTACTATTTCCCCCACTTTCTCATCAACCAAACATGACAGAATTTTTTTTTGGTAAAAACTATTGATTTATGGGCTGATAAATATTTATACCGATTCAAAAAAGTCTTAACTCAAAATTGAAGCAAACAACAAATAAATATTACACTAGCACTGTTTGATTTCATTTTGTTCCGTCAATTTTATCTCTAATGACGTGGTGCATTTCATGTGAAACATGTCCATACTCTCACACTGTTTAATTTCACTTTTAGACTTTATTTATTTTTAAATTTTGGCAAAAATAAAAGTCAAATAAATATTTTCAAAATTTTAAAAATTGCTTCTACCAACCAAAGATAAAATTATGTAAAATTGATTAATCTTTTAGACATTTTTTTTTACAAAATTAATTTTTATTTTGTGTTTGGATGATAATCATGTAATGGGTGGTTATTTTTCTTTTTATTAAATTAGTTTCTATTTTTTTTAAAAGTCAAATATGGCGACAAATTTGATATCATTATTAAACCAATTCATTAAATCAAAAAATTCAAAACTAAAAATATTTTATATATTAAATATAACGATTACACATTAAAAGCTTAACAACTATCTATTACATGATCATCATCCAAACATATAATAAAAATTAATTTGGTAAAATAAATAAATAAATGTCTAAAAGATTTATTAATTTTACATAATTTTATCTTTGGTGGATAGAAATAATTTTGAAAAATTTAAAAATATTTTTTTGACATTTATTTTTGTCAAATTAGTTTATATTTTATCAAATTGACAATTTTGCCCTTAAAAAGTCCAATGGTATCTTCAATTATCCTTATTTGGAACAAGATTCAAAATTCAGGGTCAAATGTGTCACAATTGAAAAGTCAGGGACCAAAATGACACGAGCCACAAATTATAGGGACTGTTTGTATATTTCGCCCAAGTTTTAATATTGTCTCTATATACACCATTATTTTTCAAATAATACCAAATTATCCCCTTCTCTAGCAAACCCTAACTCTAGCTAATTCATTGTCGACCGTCAGTTGCTACTCTCTCCCTTCCGATTAATGCCTACTCCACAACATCTATTTCCTCCCGTCGCAGCCTCCCTCTTCTCTTGCCGCAACCAGCACTTACCCCAGTCGTGTTGTCCTTTTACCAGCCCTCTTCCATCCTTGTGACCCCTACCCCTCATTTTTCTTATTCTTTTCATTATCGAGATCTGAAAACCTTTGAGTTTTCTTTCTTTCTCTCTATAGTAGAGAAAAGTATAGGACTGCATTGCGATGGATAAAATGGGGAGGTGGCTTACGATAGCTAAAGAGAGGGCAGAGTTGTTCAAGATAACAGGAGCGGGGTTGTTTGCGGTGGTGAAAAGTCGTTAGTGGCTGCAATGGTGATCGGGAAGGGCTGTGGTGGTAGTGGCTGGCGATGACTGTCGGAGGTAGGAATTAGACAACGGAAGAGAGAGGCAGTCACCGATGGTGATGGTGGGGTACAGGGAGAGTGTATTGAGAGATTAAGATTGTCTAAAATGGTAATTTGATTAAGGGACACAAATGTAATGAAAACTATAGTGATGGTGTATATTGAGAGAG